AAAATACATTGGAATTTCAAATGAATAAAAACACAAATGAAAATATTATGTTGATATACTTAGAAAACAGATGTATAATGAGTTCAGAATTATGACTGTGGCCAGTTCTTCTACCTAAATGTTTATGTGCTACTGAAATACTAACAATAAATAGATCCCTAACATTCAGGTCGCAACTTACCTGAACCCATATGCAGTGATGATTCAATAAAAATGTTATAAAATCTTTCTGAAAGTTGCTGTTTAATATTATCAGCAGGAAATGCCTTTTAAATGTATGTGGATGTATTTATATAAGTAAAACCATATATGTATATATCTATATACATATATATAATTTATAAACACACAGACCATATAAAAGGACACAGTAAATAAAAAGAGAAATATTATTTTGACTAAATTTGAATATTAGTAATTGATATCATAACATATTCATATAAAATTTGTTACCAAATTAACAAATATTGACCTTTTAACTTTTATTTTAAGTTCAGGGGTACTTGCAGGATGTGCAGGTTTGTTAAATAGATAAACGTGTGTCATGGGGGTTTGTAGTACCAATTATTTCATCACCTAGGTATTAAGCCTATTATTCATTAGTTATTTTTCCTGATCCTCTCCCTCCTCTCACCCTCTATTCTCCTCTAAGGTCCAGTGTGTGTTGTTCCCCTCTATGTGTCCATGTATTCTCATCATTTAGCTTCCACTTATAAATGAGAACATGCAGTATTTGGTTTTCTGTTCCTGTGTTAGTTTGCTACAGTTAATGATGTCCAGCTCCAACCATGTTCCTGCAAAAGACATGTTCTCATTCTCTGTTATGGCTGCATAGTATTCCATGGTGTATATGTACATATTTTCTTTATCCAGTCTATCATTGATGGGCATCTGGATTGATTTCATGTCTTTGCTAGTGTGAATAGTGCTACAAAGAGTATATTCACGCATATGTGTCTTTATAACAGAACAATCTCTGTCACTTAGGGTGTATACTCAGTAACGGGATTGCTGGGTTGAATGAGAGTTCCGACTTTTGGTCTTTGAGGAATCATCACACTGTCTTCCACAATGATTGAAGTAATTTATACCTCCACCAACAGTGTATAAGCATTCCATTTTCTCCACAACCTCACCAGAAAAAATGCTGACATTTCTATGTACCTTGAAAACTGAAAAATTTTATAATGTGTAACCCCACAATTAAGACATCTTTATGTAATCTTTTTCATTTAAAGTTATAAGAATAATTCATATGCTCAAATAAAGTTTTTCTATTAACGATTCAGAGATTCTTCTAGTATAAGAAAGACGGCTTTAGGTTTTATGTTGAGTATTAGACTAAGTAAGAAGAGTGCTAATAATTTTTCTTAGTAGTGGCTTCAATATCAAATCAATTCACTTTTTTCGTTAGCGTATCTCAAGAAATTGACTTGCACATTAGAATAAACCTTCCTTTGTGGTAGGAAATTATTCCTAACAATTTTAAATAAAAGTGTTTCTGTATAGGTACAGTAAATGTAAGAGAGAGGGTCAAGGCAATTATTCTGAGACCTGGACCAGAAAACTTCCCCACAGGAACTGGTAAAAGTGTTTGGTTTGTGCTGTTCCCAAGTACCCAAACATAGCTAGTTTTACATCAACTGAATTACTTGACTATGCATTCCACTTACTGATAGCCCCTTAAGGAATGACCCAACTGACTATTTCTCAGTCAAGAAATTTGGCCACAATTCAGGCTGCATCAGTCATTCTATAGGTTATAGGTTGAACCCTAAAGAACAGTTAGAAAACTAAACATATATGGTACAGATGGGCTCAATGTTTGGAAATAAATGACTTGAGTCCTGACCAGCAAACTGTTAAAGATTGTGCTCCTATACAATCTAATGATATGGCATCTCCTTAAAAAAAAAAAAATCCTTGGTTTTTAGGAGTTACAACAACCAAAAATCTATGGTTAGCATTTCTAACATTTGGCAAGAGGCGGATGATATGATATCTTAAGTAGGTTTCACAGCACTTAAACTTTGTTAATTTTACTACGGTAACAGATGTGAAACTGTAAACTGAGAATCACAACCTCACTGTGAGTCAAGCAGCAGTACAATTGAGAAAGGCACTTAAATTAAATATACCTTTCAATAATAAATTCAAGGTAACACAATAAACACTAGCAGAAGTATATTTAGACAAGTACCACACTATCAATCAATAAGGGCTTTGGTGAGATGACCTTGTGATTTTTTCATATGAAAGTTACCCTTTTTTTTTCTTAACTTTTATACTCCTTCTGTTAAAAAGGAAATTTTTCTATAAAAAAGAAAGCAAAACAAAACAAAAAGAAAAAAATCACCTTAGAATTTTTATCCTTAACAAAAATTAACAAAATAACCTCAAATATGATTATTTTTAGTATAAAATTAATATATACAATTGATATTATAAATTGGTGTTTTGTAAAAGTTTTCAACCATTCCCAGTTTTTATAATTCAGTTATTTTATGTGTTTAATTTACCAATTAATATAATAAAAATCACACTTTGAATTTGTATAATGGAAAACTTAAGAAGTAATGTCACCTTTCAAACCAACATAGAAAACCAAAGTGTATCCCTTAACCACCCCCACCAAAAAATAGAAGAAGAATAATCAAACTATAAAGGTTAGCAATGCAACTGTATTTACATGAGCTGGAATAAACAATTTGGTTTATTTAGTGAGAGAGCAAGTAAATTTAGTATACCCGCATCCAGTTGATGAGGATGTTAAACAGGTATGAGAATCAGCGTGAAGGCAAATAGGAATGCCTAGAGAAGGTGAGGTAGGAAATGAATGGGATTTCAAAGGATGGTATGTTAGGATAAAAGAGGGTGGATGAAATGAAAGTGAAAAAGAGCACATTTTGTCCTGTTTTTCAGTTTTCCTAAGGCCTTGTTCAATGGTGAGTATTTTCTTTTCATTGGAAATAATTTTCTAGGTGGCCTATAGGAGGGGTGCTATATTGTACTGCTACCCTTTTCTACTTCTTTTCTTTTTATGCTGAAAATACAGTTATTTTTTATATCTAGAATATTTTATAATTTTTTTGTAAATCTTATGATTGTAAAGCTAGGGGGAAATTAGAAAATCATTTAGTCTAACCCTTTATTTTAATGATAGAAGAACTGAGATCCAGAGAAGCTATGGTTTATTAGTAGCAATTCCCTTGTTTCTAATTAACATAAATGTACTGGTGTGACTACAAGGTTTAAAAAACTGTATTTAATATTATTAAAAGCAAGAGACAACAAATATACATAGGAAATGCTCCAGAATTACAAAAAAAAGAATCATAAAAAGGAACTCTCCACTCAGACCAGCTAGTCATCTGTTCTGATGCTAGTAACAAGTAGTGAATTAAAACAAAAAGTTTGTAAAAAAATAAATTAAGGAAAAGGTACTGAATGATGAAAGTATGAACACATGAATTTACTGCAAACACACAAAGTATATACAAAGTACTTACCAAGTACATATAATAGCCTGGAAAAACTCCATAAAATGAGAAATATAAAGTTTCTCATATTACTATTTTCTCCCCAATTTATTTCTATCTCTATTTCATTGCAAGAATAAACTAAACGATGAGATGATAAAATAGGATACATCTCCTTAATTCAAATCCCCGGCACCCTTTTATATGTAATACCTAGAAAATCTATTTCGTTGCTGCTTTAGCTATGTGGTTCTAAATGGACCACTCTCATATGCTTAGTTAAGGTGAAAAACAGAAGTTCAGGTTACAGAGTTTGATGATGTAAAATTCTGTATAACTTTCTATGACTATTACTACTACATCATTTCAGTACATTAAAATACATTGTTTTGGCTGGGCACGGTGACTCACATACCTGTAATCTCAGCATTTTGGGAGGCCTAGGAGGGTAGATCACCTGAAGTCAGGAGTTTTGATACCAGCCTGGCCAACATGGTGAAACTCCATCTCTACTAAAAAAATAACAAAAATTAGCCGGGCATGGTGGCATGTGCCTGTAGTCCCAGCTACTTGGAAGGCTGAGGCAGGACAATCACTTGAACCAGGAAGGCAGAGGTTGCAGTGAGCTGAGATTGTGCTATTGTACTCCAACCTGGGCAAGAGAGCGAGTCTCTGCCTCAAAAAACAAAAACAAACAAACAAAACCCCACCCATTGTGTTAAAATAAATATATCTATTAAATATAACTTAAATATATATGTTCCTAAGATACTATTTGCTCATATCTATGATCAGAGCCAACACAAATATTTTTCATCTAAATAACCTATATTAATACTTCTCAAAGTATCTCTCTGGTGGAATGCAACATGAACTTATATAGGGCACATGGGTAAACATTTTTAATTTTACTATTTAAATACTGATTTCAATATGTATTAGGAAAAATTACACATGATTTTCTATATTAAAAGTGAGTCAACTTAGAAAACATTAAGTAAATAATAATACAGGTGGCATGAGAATATGGCAAAACTTATATGTCCAAGGTTTGGGAAATGCTGCCTTACATAATGTAACTTCTCTCGAGATGAGCTAGCATAAATATTATTGTTGAAAGATGTGAAAATTCCAAGCTATATTTTATCCTCTATATTACTGCTTAGCTTTGATCTCATAAAGTAAGCATAATAAGAAAGTAAGTTCTTTCCATAGAAATTTAAGGTATTTTACTGATGGAAGACAGCTTATTAAAACCAGCAGTTTAATGAGTAAAAATCACCTCTCTAACTTGCCAGTAAAATTAAAAACTCTAATTCACCTGATTAGAGGGCATACATATCAGTAACATTCTGCATAGTACTACATATACTACATTCCACAAACTATCACAGTACTAAAACTGTCTAACACATACTTGCCCCAGTCCCATCCGTGTTGTTCTTTTCCCTCTATAAAAGGAAATGTTCATTAGAGACTACTAGAAAGCTAAATTAAACTACTACAAACTCAAATACTTACTGTCGCTGGGGAGGCCCGAGTTGTGTGTGTCACTGAGTGACCAGAATTCTCCATTGAATTGCCGATCAGATAGGTTCCTCCAGAGCTGCTGATGAGTTGTCCTCCTGTGACTCCCATCTGAATCCCACCAGTGCCCACCATACTGTGGGATGAGACCACAGTAGTCACCTGTGCGGAACTACCTTGAGTATCAAAGTAATTCCCTCCAGTGTTTTGGCTGTACATCTGCGTCTCTGTGTAAGGATAAGTTGTTGTTCGGCTTTAGAAGAAGAAAAAGAAAAAAAGAAATTTACTAGCTTATTTATGTCACCTTATTAAATTCTTTTCTAATATGAATGTAATTGAAATATATTGGTTGGCTTAGCCTTTGGAACATGGCAAGTTTTGCATTTTGTACAAAACTTCATTCCCAGAAACAGCTGGAATTACTTTTCAAATTGAGAGTCCACTCATTTAAATAAGTACCTCAACTAGTTTCTGTACTTCAGAGCTTTTGTCCCCTCCTGGTGCCTACCTCCAGCATATAAATAAGATCAGGTCTCTTCCCTCCAAGAAATCTTGCCCAGCAACTTCTTCAATTGCTTAAAAAATGTACTACAAATTCCAGTTTTAGGGAAGTTGGGACCTGGAATAAGTAGGAGCAGTGTGAGTAGTGGACTTTGCTCCTACTTAGCAATACTCAGACTATTTCACATTCCTGGGTGACTGCCGGTAAACCTCCATGACTAAAGTGGCTTGCGTGGATCTCTTTCTTACCTCCATAAAGATCTTGAGCAAACAGTTTACTCACCTTGGACCCTAAGTCCCTTGCTCATCTTTCTCTTTTTATTCACACTTAAGTTCCTCCTTCATAAGATGACTATTCCAACTCTTCATGTCCTCACTTTCCATTTTCCAACAAGTACAGTAAAGCTTCTACCCTTAGCCTTTCATAAGAACTGCTTTTAATAAGGTCACTTCTGAGCACATCTAAATACCAAGCTAAAGGCTCCTGCCAGTCCTTATCTCTTGTGACCTAACTGTAGAATGACACTGTGGACCACTCCATGTTGCCCTTTCCCTCCTCTTTCTCTTCTGATTAAGCTCATTTGATTGATCTGTTTTTAATTTTCAATTGACTATAACTTAAATTTTGAGACGATTTTTTTAACATTTTATTTTGAAACACTAAGGTCTCAAGAAGTTATAAAAATATGTATAGAACATATTTTATTTTAAACATTCAAATATGAAATTGAAATTCCCAGTTCTTTTACAATTATCTTCAATGTCACCTCATAGAACTAGCTATTCCTGAGAGTTTGGTGTGTATGTTTTCGGCCATGTCCTATATGTATCTTAAGGCCTGGATATCTTAACCTCTTTTGTCCCTTAGTGTCTATGACCCTTCTTTTCCACTGTTTGCTTTTTTACCATAACCTCTCAAGGGCCTTTTGGAGTCTCCAATTTTTCTAGCACATCAAATATTAGGATTTTTTGAGGTTTCCATTTTGAGCTCTTATTTTTATTTAGATCAAAGACCTTTACCACATACAGTACTATATAACCATATACATGCTTTTAGTAAACAATCTTAAATAAGTTGGCATCACTGCTCTCTTTACTTCCTAGTTATACTTTAAGAATATTAAATCTGGGTTTCTAACAGCCAACTGGTTATCACTACTCAGAACTCCTTTGAAATATGGGAGGTTGTGTAAAATTTAACATATGACGAGATTCCTTCCCCTCTCGTTCTTTCTTCCACACCCCTGCTTCTCAGTAGAGGGCAGCACCACTATCTTCAGCTTTGGAAATTATTGCTTACTCTTCCCTCTGACTGACATGAGTTGCTAAGTCTGTCAATTTTATCTTCTTAATAATTTTCCAATTATTCTTTCCATTATCATAGACAATACCTTAATTCAAATGTTTTCTATTATACAGGCTGAGAATACCTTATCAACAATGCTTGGGACCACAAGTGTTTTGGATTTGGGATTTTTTCAGATTTTGAAAACATTTTCATATATAAAATGAGAGATCTTGGGGTTAGGACCCATATCTAAACATGAAATTCACTTATGTTTCGTAAACACCTTTATACATAGCCTGAAGGTAATTTTATAAAATATTTTAAATAATTTTGTGCATGACACAGTTTGTATACGTTGAACCATCAGAAAGCAAAGATGTCACTATCTCATGTTAGTGCTCAAAAAGTTTCAAATTTTGGAGCATTTCAGATTTCAGATTTTACATTAGGGATGTTCAACCTGTAACTGCCAATTGATTTTCCCTTCTCTAATCAGGTGCTCTTGCAATCTATCTCCAGTTCTGCTGCCAGGAGAATTTTCTATAATGCAAATATAAAAATAAAACTTGGCTTAAAAACCTTTCGGTGTTTCTCTCTTGCCTTCAGAAAAAGTTCAAAACTTTTGTCCACCTGACAAAAATCATCAGGGGCTCATGCCTACATAATCTCCAGACTTGTTAGCCATGTTATCAAATGCTCTCTTCATTCACATCATATTGACCGTTTTGCTGGTCCTGCTAAAGTGCCATTTCCTCTTGCCTCCCTGCTTCACTATACAAGTATTTCTCTGCCTGAAAGTCTTTTTCAGTTTTTTCCACCTCCCTTCCTTTGTCCTAATCATCCTTAAACTCTCAGCAGAAGCGCCTTATTTCAAAATTATTTTCTGCATCCTTTGCCCTCTATGGCCACTCCTCACAGCGCTGTTACGTTTTATGCTCTGTACTTTTCCTTTGAATTACTGAAACATAAGCTCTCAATGTGTTGTTAATTTCTCCATGTCTTTGCCCTCCATCAGTAATCTCAACACTTAACACAGTTGCTGGTACATAGCAGGCACACTAAGTAGTCAGCAAATATTTACAAGTACATTAGACATAATAGCCAGTTTCATAAATTTCTGTATCATAAATCTTTTATTTTCTTAAAACATGAGAAATTATGCTAAACTACTCCAAGATTTATGTTTAATTTAAAACAAGTACTTTTAACCCATTATAAATTATACTTGTAATTTACAATATATATTAGTAAAATAATTATAGTATTCTGAAAGTATTTCAGACTGGGTAAATAGCCCTTTCCAGAAAGGCCTATAGCAAATCCAGGTAAAAATTTTAGTTTGGGGTGATGATAGAAACAACTTCATGGGAATTTTCTTTTATACAGATAGGAAAATGTCATTTAAAATACATACACTATTCTTCTCATCACTGCTATATTTCCCAACTGGAAACCTCATTTATTTCTCTATTTACATATTTATTTAATGAAACAAAATAGCCATGTTTATTTCAAATTTGGATAAAAAGAGAAATAAAGTCATTTTAATTTCTGTCTACTGAATATGACAGTGGCCCCACTTAACTGTGCTTAAAATAACGCAATCTGATGTTGGTATTTAAGTATAGTCAAATAAGTTGTAGAAATAGATATAGGACAATAAATACTCTGACAGATGCGGGACATGGTGCCCCTTTCCTTTTCATCACCCAAGCAGGATGATTCAGGAAGCCTCCTACTAGAAAGTAGATTTCTCAAATAAAACATAACAATAGCAAAATATAGCTAATATTTACTGACCATTGACTATGCAGCAGGCACTATTCTATGTGCTTCTTAGGCATTAACTCATTAAATTTTCTTTATAACTATATAAGGTAGGTGCTGTTATATTAATAATTCCTATTTTACATATAAGGTAAATAACATAAGTTTGGATTGGTTAAATAACTTAGTCCAAAGCACAGAGCTGATAAATTATGGATTTGGAATCTAAACTCAATCTATACTCTCAACCATTACATCACAAAAAAGAACCTAACTTTTCATATCTGTCAGTACCTTACTATTTTCTAGCACTACACTATTCTCCATTATTACCAAGAATGAGGCCTGTTGACTATGTACTTGCAATTGTAAAGAGGAAGCCGTGGAAAAGATGGGGCCATTTCTGAAGATACTTAACCACTGCAGCTTTTGGGCTTGCCCTCTTTGTATCATTATAATCAATAAAGAACAGTAATGCAAATAAATGCATCACAGATATATATAATCTCTATATAGCCCTCGATGTCAGTTCATAAGCTAGAAAATGGCCAAAGAACAGGAGAAGGAAGAAAGTCACTAAACAGTATACCTAATCCATAAACTATCCCCATTACTCCATCATGGAACTGTGAAGGCTTGTCTACTCTATAAACACACATTGGGGTAAAGAGTGGCGATTTTTAAGGGAAAAAACTCACACAATTATATTAAGGAATAAAGTGTGATAAATTCTCTGAATTTGGCTTTGACAAAAATACACTTGCAGTTGGAAAAGGGAGACTTTCAAACACCAGGTTGAGTAACAGAAGCAGATTATAATATCTTTAGCTGGGCCCGGTATAGTTGCTCATGCCTGTAATCCCAGCACTTTGGGAGCCTGAGGTGGGCAGATCACCTGAGGTCAGGAGTTTGCTATTAGCCTAGACAACACGGTGAAACCCCGTCTCTACTAAAAATGTACAAAAAATCAGCCAGGCGTGGTGGCACATGCCTGTAATCCCAGCTACTTAAGAAGCTGAGGCAGGAGAATCACTTGAACCTGGGAGGCAGAGATTGCAGTGAGCCAAGATCACACCACTGTACTCCAGCCTAGGTGACAGACTGAGATTGCATCTCAAAAATAATAATAATAAAATAATATCTTTAGCCATTGTCCCTTAAAGGTAAGAAGGCAAGCATGAACCCCCTTGTTGGATTCCCTGGAGCCAGAGCCAGAGTCATGCACAAGTAACCAGTAACTCTTAAAAAACTCTTAAAAGGTTTTCTCCATGTCTAAATACTTTAAGCTCCTGAATAAATACTTAAGAATTTATTTTAAAAAAGAAGCACCAACAGCAAAAATAAACAGTTCTTTTTTAGGTACTAGAAACAGACTCTCTTAATTCTGATATCTCAGATCAGCTCATCTTTTATATTGTATACTGAATATATTCTTCAGATGAGTTACTGCTTGTACACTATTTTCTCCAGAAATTTCCTAAACATATGTTCAAGAAAACGACTCAATTTTTGGCATATCAGATTAAAAGCAGCTAACTATTTCTGGACTGTACATTCCTGAAATAGATAAATCCCCAAGCAATTCTGTGCACATTTAAAAGATATTGCTGTGTTCATTTTGTTTGTTCTGTATTGATTACCATAGACTAAGGCATGAAAATAATGCCATATTATTTCTATAGCAGAAGAGAAATCTT